CCATTACATCAGGAGCAGCCACAGCACAACACAGAGCTGGCCATTACATCAGCAGCAGCCACAACACAGCACAGAGCTGGCCATTACACCAGCAGCAGCAGCCACAACACAGCACAGAGCTGGCCATTACACCAGAAGCAGGCACAGCACAGCACAGCGCTGGCCATTACACCAGCAGCAGCAGCAGCCACAACACAGCACAGAGGTGGCCATTACATCAACAGCAGCCACAGCAGCTGTGATCTATGTGCAGGGCGCCGGTGGCCTCACATAAACCCGTGCTGCCGACTCCATCATCAACCCTATTATCAACCCTGTGTGCCACGGTGGCGAGATGTTAACTACCTCGCCTGGTATACAGGAGGTCGTTGGTTCGATTCTGACCCTGACGCCTGCTGTATATTTAGAGCTGGCATGTTCTCCCAATGGTTGCGAATATTTTTCTCCGCGTCCTCCGATTTTTCCCTCCACATTTCAAAACATGCTTTTTGAGTATTTGACTGCTATAAATTTCCACGTGATAAGCCACTTCGTTGAGTTATCATCTGTGGCCAGGTCGCATCTGAAAAAGAGTCTACATAGCTCAGTGGGTCTTACCTGGTAAAATAAACATGTATTTTTAAAATAATTAAACCCCTCCTTTCAATTGTTGACAGAATCATGTTCGGAGAATGTTTTTAGACAAAAGTAATCTTCAAAAGCCATCAGTCGGTGCATGCTTAGTAACCGTAACCAGAAAACAGAGTAACAAATACAGAAAAACAGCCTCATGTTATTCCCCACAACGCTGGTGCACAACCTTTATGAATCGTTACGAAGTTGATAGGGTGGCCGCTTTAAAATTAAACGGCGTTTGCCATTAAAGTAAATGCGGCGTCAGTCCAGTGCAGGCACGCAACCCTATGCAATAAATGCCAAAGTGAATGTGAAATTTCCACCAGTGGCTCAGAAACCAGGACCACGAGCGGAGATGAGCTTCACTCCACGCTCGCTTGAGGGAATAGACCCTTGACCACGGCTGGCTACGTACGGTGTGAAAGAAGTTCAACATACATACACGTGCATCACAGCACGGTTGGCTACGCGATCTAACCCCCAAAAAAAACCTGTACTATGGATGATATTGGTCGCGAAAGCCTACGTGTATTTTTTTGTTTTATTGAGAACGCGCTTCGGTGCAGGAACGTGACCTCATTGAATGTACACTCAATGTGGATAATAAAGCTTCGGCGAGCAATAGTTTAAGCTCGTTTGAAACATACGACTTTTGCCAATTACGCAACGGACGGAAACACATTTATTTCACGGGGAAATCTATAGAGGGCAAACAAGCTGTTTCCGAAGGCCCCAGTCAATGTGACTCAGTCGCGACATCAATTCTAAACATTGAATCAACATCGCATAATAATAACCTAAACTAAAAACATTTTTTTTTAACCAGGTAAGGCCCACTGAGCTATACAGCTCTTTTTCAAAGGTGACCTCGGCCACAAGTGATAGCCCAGCGAAGTGGCCTATCGCTTGGACCTTTAAAGCAGACAAATAGTCTGTAAATGCATGTGGATTCTAAACGTGTACCGATATGCAATAGTCATTCGGGAAAAAAAAAACCCATAAAAACATAATTATCAAGGAACTAACTCGACTGACGGAGCTCATAATGGACGCGTCAGAGCACCGAGCCAGCGCCGCTGATATCCTGGGTTCGAATCTAGGCCACAGGCGACTGCGATGAAACTTGGGTGCTCAACCGCAGCAACTTGACGGTTCTCGGCCAAGGGTCACGGTCCAAATTTGACAAATTAACCCAGCGGTTACGCGATGGGGGAAACGCACGGCAAACATCACCCCCCTCCTGCGTAACTTAACAGGGACCCGTCCTGAAAAAGATAGTTTGTGCACCAAGACCAAATATTTTACCTTGTTAGTATACCACCTAAGTTGTACCAACATAATTCAATAATAAAGTGGATTATGCAATAACCTTGTTGAATAAGTGTGTTATGATCTAATCGACTTGTATTAGCCGTAGTAGTTTAAGTTTTAACATTCAGTGTATTTGTTTAATACCAGCTGAGTGTCATTTATAAGAGTGACCGGGGGCATACGTCTGCAAGTCGACTAATTACACACCTCCGATTAGCACGGTTGGCTACGTACAGTGCGAACGAAGTTCAACATACATACACACATACAGCATGGGTGGCTACGTACGGTGCGAAAAAGTTCAACATACAGGCAGCATGGTTGGGCTACGTCCGGAGCGAAGGAAGTTCAACATAACATGCGTACGGAGGGTGGCGATGATTGCTGCTTTGTGTGTAATACCAACTGAGTATTTTGCGGTTTCATTTTGTAAATTGCCAAATTAAGACCCCGATGCCGGCACACAATGACCAACTCGTGCCACTGACGTCACGGGATGTTTAACATCCACTGTGAGGCGGACGGCGCGTCGTAGTTTGATTACGGTTCATAAACACCGCCGCAGTAGTAATGAAAAATAAGAATAGGTTTTACCCTTTCTGGCAATAAAACAGTGGGTGTTAAGATGTCCAAACAGCAAATTGATACCTTTTGCAAGGCATCAAGTCACTTGTGTCAAAATGTGTATGTTTTGACACAAGTACGTACGGTTAATGCAGACTTGATGCCTTGCAAATGGTATCTATTTAGTGTTTGCACATCTCAACACCTCTTGTTTTATTGCCAAAAACCCTTTCCTTATTTTTCACCATTTTGACTAGTGGCAAAACGGAAAAATGTCCCACCGCAGTATTAACCAGGGCGGCTGATAGGTTCGAACCACGAACCGCTGCAACGAGCGGCGAACGCAGCACTACCACTGACCCGCTGCGTCACCGCCCCCATGTATACAGTATTGCCGATGACATCAGCAAGAGGACAAAACTCAACACTGGAGAGAGTTACATCATCGAAAAGTGCGTATCGGGTTTTCATAACGTGTTTGCACTGTCTTGCTTTCGTAACATTAATGGGCAAAGTGCCTGCGTTAGTGTCAAAATATGTTTACTTAGAGTCCCATCGACCAATGGGGGCCTTCTGGCAGGCAATCCATCAGTAAGTTTTCTGGTTTAATGGGCAACATCTTGCTGATGAGACTCAGCGAAGTGGAAACCGGCGCGGGACTTGCCTTGTTTCAATAAACAAAAACGCCGCTGGAAAACGATGGGGTCGTTGATGTGCAGATGCAGGTACCCACACGGTTAAGGACGTGCTTATAAACGGTTGAAAGCGATGATGTACAATGAGAACGAGCGGGGGCACAGACAAACTCTCTTTAAACACCAACGGCCAACAGTGGGATGTGATCTTCTGACAAGAAGTGAACATGATGACGTCACGCGCATGACATGCCGTACCACGTGCCGAACCGCGTGCTGCACCGCATTGCTCTACCTCGTGCCGTACCACGTGGTGCACAACGACACCACAACGGGCGTAACACAATGGAGGGCGCGAAGACGAAGATACAATGCGATATGTTGCAACTATCAAAGGTGAGTGTGGACTTGGTTAGGGAAGGGGGGGGGTGGCCGATGGTCAGGAGGGAGTGGTAGCCAAGGGATGGAACGCGCTCGCGAGACGTGCGCCGTGGAATCAGCGATGCGATCGGTCCGTGTGCAGGCGCTGGGCGGATTGTTGCGTCGCAGGATCCTGTGAGGTGGCGATAGCTTTGGGAGGCCTTCATTCGGCAGCGGAATGACCATGGCTTGATGATGACGAATCATGGCCTATAAGGATGGCTCAAAGGCGACCTCCCCCTTTGGCTGCCTGGCTCAACCCAAAGAGCTCACGTGCCCTTGAAGCAGCGGATGAGGCAAGGAAAGGGCAGATGGCACAATGTAGACAAACGTCCACGGCCGCTTTAAAGAAGTAAAAAAGAAAGAGAAGCGCCGGCTTCAGGGGACCGGGGTGATTGCGGCGGCCGCCCCAGATCACAAAGCCGCGCCGGGAATTTGTGAGCACGAAGAACTCCACAGCTGTCATCCCACATTAGGGAAAAGATTCCCGTTGGGCAAGTGCTGTTAGCGAGTAGCATCTATGAAGGCCAGCGTGACACCCGAGGGGGTGGGTGGACAACACTACGCCCGACCACCTTTATCTCCCCAGTGGCGATGTTTATACACACCGCACCAGGTACGCATTTGAAGCCGAGTCGACCGCGGGGAGGCCCCGGATAGGTTCAAATAATGGTCACTGGTGTTCGTGGCCGTGAGCGGGAATCTAGCTCGGGTCGCCGGGTTCATAGCAAAGCGTGCAAACCGCTACCCTACAGCTCCCCCGTAATGGTAATGTGTACACGCACGCAGCGGACGATGACGGGGGTCACCCCACCTGAGAGATGCCGAGAGTCAAGGGATGCCACCGGCTACGGGAACTGCTTTGGAAAAGTTGAGGTCCGTTTTATTTGCGAGGAGGTGGATGTGTGAGGCAGAGGTTGTCTGTTCTCTGGGTCAGAGAGACGAACTTTGACAAGGCAAAGAGAAAATGTACTCTAGGCCTTGGAGTAAATGTGCACATGGAGGATGCTGGGAATTCCCTTACAGGATGGGGTCAGCAATTTGGACGTTCAGATTATAAACTGGCAGGAAAGTGTTGACGATGTAACGGTCAAGAGGAGGTTGTGATGGGTGGGACGTGGGTGCAGGGTGCAGGAGGTAGTGATGGGTGGGGCACATGTGCAGGGTGCAGGAGGAGGGCAGGTCAACAAGACCAACATTGGAGTGGCACCCAGAGGTGGGCGACCAAGTGGAAGACATCCAACTTCAAAGTGGGGACCTTTGAAGGTTGATGTTGACAATGAAACATCAGCGATATCTGACAGAGAAGCGATGGCGATGGGGGTGGTGACATCAACGGCACAGGCCATACCGACCTTGACCTTAGCCGACACATCACTAACCCAGGGCCCGTTGCAATATGCGCACCCCGCCCCCGGGGTTGCCCGATGTTTTGTTTTGCTCGGTGGGACTCACAGTCTTGCGCTGCAGGCGGCTGAGCAGACCCTTCCTCTCCCTGCGGTCCACCGATCCGCCCCACGGGGAGCCCAGCGCCTGTCCCCCGGGCCACCTCCCGGCCTGCGCCTGTATCCTCGCCTGCGCTAGGTTAAAACCCGGCCCGGCACGGGCGTGGCGAAGCCCCCTCTCCAGCCGGCAAAACGTCTGGTGACCCACCACCGCCACCCCGCGCCTCTCCCCGTCCCCTCGGCAGCCCGCCGCTCCTCCTCCTCCGGCGGCGGCGGCGGCGGCCTGCGACGCCTCCTCCTCGCTCTCGTCGCGCTCCTCCCTCTCGGCCGCCTCGGCCTTCCCGTACGCGTACACGGCCTGCGGCAGGTTGCACTCGCTATAAGCCACCCGCCCGCGCCGCTGGGACGCCGCCAGCGGGCTGAAGAAGCCCGCCGCCGTGCAGCGGTAGTGGCCGCCGGTGCCCTGCGCGAGGCGGTCGCCGGCGGCCGGGAACGCGCGGTTCCAGTCGACCGAGCGGCAGGCGTAGGGGGGCGGTTGAGCCGTCGGCGGCGGCGGCGGCTGCGGAGGGAGAGGCGGCGTCGGGGTGTGCGGGAGACGCAGCGTGCGCGTGCTGTGCTCCCCGCGCGTCACGCAGCCGCCCCCCTCCTCCATCGTCACGGTGAGCTCCCGCTCCTCGTGCTCGAAGTAGAAGACGCCGTCCACTCCGGACTCGGGCTCGTCCTCCTCGTAGCAGACGTCCACCAGCGGGTTGAGCTCCCAGTTCTTGCCGACGGGCGACGAGCGGTACTGCTGCTGATGCTGCTGCTGCTGCTGCTGCTGGTGGTGGTGGTGCTGCTGGTGGAGACCCGTGACGCCGTAGCTGCCCGTGCGCAAGCGGCGCAGCTGCATTTGCCGGCGGGCGGCTCGCAACTCCTCGAGCGAGACGGCGAATCCCGGCTGCAAGAGACGCCGCTCTCTCGTGACGCAGCAAAGACACCGGCGGTCGCGCGGCGACCTCGCGCGCCAAAAATAATAATCATTAAACACCGCGCGGGTCTCTTGATACCACGCGTGGTTCCGTTCACTCTCAAGAGAGGATTATTGGGGGGGGGAGGGACACGCTAGAGAGGCCGAGCGAGCAGGAAGGCGGCTGTGACCTGCCACCAAGGATTGCCTAAAGATTTGCGATCCTTGTGTTCGGATTATTTGGCCAACTCCCTATTTGTATGAGCGTCTCACACAAGTGGGAGGAAGCCGGAGTGCCTGGAGAAAGCCTTAATGCATGCGAGCGGAAGGACCGGGGGGGGGGGAGGTAACTAGCAGAGAGCTGCTGCAGCATCGCCACCGCGTTGCACAATTTGCAAAAGGTATGATCTCGGATTGGGAGGTGGCCGTGTGGCTGAGCGGTTGTACCTACGTATGTACGTTGAACTTCTTTCGCAATGCACGTAGCCAACTGCGCCTAATCAGAGGTGCGGGGAAAGGACAACCAACTAAACACACGGAAAAATATACACATACTGAGTCAGGGACGTTGAGCCGGTACTACTCACTTCCTGGGTTAGAATTCTGTGTATTGGTCGTCCGTGCTTCTGTCTATCTCTCTGGCCTGCGTCGTCTCCTTCATAACTAAGAAGTTGATGCCCATGACTGATACTTCTCACCGCCTTCTAACGAGGTTACTATAAAGAGGTGATTATAACAAGATTATAACGATTTTACTATAACTAGGTTATTATAACGAGGTTGTCAAGTGTATCAAAGTTGAGGGTCTTGGCCCGGCCACCAATGACTCTTTCCAAAGATAACTCTGGTGATAAATTTGGGGGGAGCATTCACTCTGGCTTATATCAGCCAGCTCTGACCATCACGCCACGGACACTTTATGCAGGGCATACAAGAGACTGACCACCTAAACATAGACAAGGGGGTTGATGAAGTGATTCCAGAGAACTACGATTCCAGAACGTATTTCTCTCTCATCATCTCCCGGGGACGGTCTTTTAACGTTATGTGACGCCGCGGATTTTAAAAAATTGTATTCATTCATCTTTAGACATGTCGCTCAATGTAGGGAAATGTGAGTAAACTAGTGAATAGGTTTGTGGAAAGTAAACTGTCAATTTCCCTGAATTTCTCGAGGAAATGTGGGGAAGCTTACGCAGGACCTAAATTAAATTCGACAGGAACTGTTGATGGTTTTTGCATAATACACAAGACTGGGTGCTTTTTATACACGTGTCAGCGTGTTGTTTGAAACTTTTGGTGTTCCGGTCAGCACCGATGTTTACATTTAAATGGGACTCCTCGTCAGTTACGGACTTGAATGGAGCAAGCGAAAATTCGGAGGGGAGGAAGGCCGCAGTAGCGCGTGGCGAGAGCTTGACAGGAGATATGCTCACCGCGTGGCCTAACCCGGAGCACCACGCGAGGATTACGGGGGGATGTGAGAACCGGCGCGCTAAGGAGCGTGTGTTTCTTAGACGCGAAATTAGTCCAAACTAATCTCAGTAGAAATTGGGACCGTGCAAGCATAAATAAGATCCCGATATTTCTGCACCGACAAAACATTTACGCTTGTACATTGGGCCTTTATAAGAACGGCTAAGAAAGAAGACACGACCTCACGAATTTGACTCAGTTATATACAACACAATAGTATAGGTTCATTTGGCACTGTCTCTGGCTGTCGCCTGATGATGCGAGTTGTAATAACTGGCGAAACGGCCACGGTCCTCAAATTGTAAATGTTGTTGATTTACTCTCCAACACAGCGGTGTGTGCTGTACCAGTAACGAATTGGCCATGTTCTGTTTACTTTACAAACCTCACTAATTGGCTGTGTCGGGTTGGTGGCCGGTTTAACGGCACATTCATATTTACGCGATCTAACCCCCAAAAAATCCTCTGTCGTGGATAATATTGGTCGTGAAAACCCGAACTACTAACGTGCATATACAACACATTTGGTACAATGCGCCAGTCAAGCAGGTCACATCACTCGTGGTTACGTCACCAATGGAAGCGTGACCATTAAGCTCAAGTTAAACAGTGCAACTATTCTCAGGCTAAACACACTGCCACATGCTTCGTATGTTGCGGGTCCGTTTGTTAAAAAGACGATTTAAAAAAAAAAAGCAATTGTTTTTCATTGCTTCTGTTTTGCAACACATTTCATTCACATGAACGAGACAGGGGTAATTTAGGCGAGGAAATGTTGCCCGCTTAAAATGTTAAACAAATGTCGAGTCTTCCACGAGAAATAAATTAAGGTAAAAAAATATTTTAAAAGAGCCAGATTATCACGCCGAATAATTTAATATGCTGTAGATATAGTATTATTTCTAAAATAAGAGGCTATTGTTGTCATCGCCAGCAGTGATAGCATCGCGTGAACAGAACGCGTTTTCGGCCATTTTGTCAAGATGGGAATCTGGGCAAATACATTTAAAAAAAAATACGATCGTTCTCTAAGTAGAGTATAAAGTATATCACCAAAATTACAGACGTCAAAATTGTGAAATGTTCTAAAATATGAACTATAAGCACCTTTCGTAAAGTGACCAGGAGGAGGATTGATAATTGCTGCACTGTGTACAGCGCAAAAGCGTTCGCAATCAAAACCGTTCACAACTCTGAATTAACTCACAGTCATGGTTGGTTATGATATTCAGCTTTAGAATTTATTACATCGTGTTAATCACTAATGTTCAGAGGGGAGTCACTTTCGCTGATAAGACATCATCAGTGTGAGTGCCGCCACACATTTGAAACCATTGGGGGTTTGACAGCAGCACGATTATGATGGGGGGGAGTGTTTTCACTTTTGTCTATTGTGGGGCGGCCGCACTGAAAGACAACCAGGGGCCCACCAGTGGCCCACGGGGCCTTGCAATGAAGAACGCCGATCTACTATTTACATCGAGAAGATTTGACGAAGCTAACTTTTATGATTCAATTCCCAAACTCGTGTCTCCGCGAACACTGCTGCCATTTTGATCTCGGCTCTTCCGTTGTCAGACGACCACCTCAACCCAACGTGAACTTGTTCAGCCAATCGCAGCACAGTTGAATGTGCGGCGTGAAAAGTGAACGCTTTTCGAACAATTTCTCAACCTTGCCCGACTCGAACGCAACTGATCATCTCTGGCATTGCAGCCAGTGAGGAAAAATGAAATCGAGCTTCGTAATCACGAACAATCGTTTGACACAACATTGTCGCGGAAAAGTTGCACTGTTGTAACTTCAAGGGTGAGCAGGAGAATGTGAGGATGTCCAACAATCACGATGAGGTTCATGCAACGTGTACACGGCCTCAAACACCACGGCAAATGAACGCACAGTACATTCTCTGAACGCCTGTTCATAAACACCTAATGAACACTTTCGAAAACAGTTCAAACACAATGACAGTATTATATACAGTATTTTAGTGCTGCCACTATTTGCTTAGATCAGCTGACTTTTAATTGACAAAGTGGTGACTTTTAATTGACAAAGTAAAAAAAATACAGCTCACGGGGTCATTACACAGTGCCATCATCGCAATATAGATCCCCAGGCCTAATGACTGGACCGTACTACGGCTCCTTAGTCTGAGCAACCGCAGAGTTTCGCGTCCGTCGTAATGAGTGTTTGGAAAAGGCCACGTGAAAAAAGTGAAGCAGTCTTGTTATTCATTACCGTACTCAAGTTTCGCAATACGGTGTAACGTGATGGTGACGTGTGCGGTACGGTACTTTCAAAAGGTAACCTGTGTTGAGTTTGACCTCGGTAATTAGGGCGCCATGGTGGGAGGATGTTAACTGCCTCGCCTGGTGTACAAGCGGTCGAGCGTTCAATACCGACCCTGAGGTCTGTTATATATTTCGAGTTTGTACGTCTCTCTCCCCGTGGTCGCGTGGATTTTTCTCGGGGTCCTCCGTTAATTCCTCCGCATTTAGAAACATGTATTTAGAGTATTTTGCTGCTATAAATGTCCACGTGATAAGCCACTTGATTGAGCTATCATTTGTGGCCAGGTCGCTTCTGAAAAAAAGAGCGAGATAGCTCAGTGGGCCTTGACTGGTAAAATACAAAACAGTTTAGTTTCAGAATCAGAATCGTTACACCGACGGAATCCGAAGAGCTATAAAGCTATTTTTCACAGACGTCCAGTCTGGGCGGGTCAGAACGTGATAACAACGAACAACACAAAAACACGATAGTAGTGCAAAGTATCAGAAAAAAATCGCTTAAAATATACAAATAAAACGAAACTATATATATTTTTGAATCTTAGCAGGTAAAGCCTACTAACAAGAGACAAACTTTTAAACATTAGGGAATCAACTCCTGTGGATTTATTTCCCACTTTTCTGCTTCCGGCGGCAGAATTAGTGGGCATTCTAGTCAAAGCCGTGCTAGACTTTGCTCAAGCAGGGAAACGCCGCCCAAGGGGTAAACGGTCGGGGCTCTCGTACGGCTACGCAGACGCGGGATCCGAACAGTGCTTCCGAGCTTTTTCCTCTCCAACGTACGTTCACTGTGCAACAAAATGGACGAACTTCAGCTACTGATGGTGAAAAACAGAGACTTTCTTTCATCCTCTGTTTTGTGCTTCACGGAGACATGGCTGTGTGATTTGATTCCGGACACTGCGCTACAACTGGCAAGATTCCATCTTGTAAGATCGGATCGTGACATAGCACTCTTCGGCAAGACGAAAGGCGGTGGTATTTGCTTTTACATTAACAGTGGCTGGTGTGTAGATGTCACAGTGATTCTGCAACATTGTTCTCCGCTCCTTGAATCATTTTTTAGAAACTGTAAACCTTTCTACTCGCCTCACGAGTTCGTGTCGCTCATTTTGGTCGGAGTTTACTTGCCGCCGGATCCTCAGGTTAAAGAGGCCCAACGCATGCTCGCCGACCAGATTCTGAGTATGGAGCGAGCAAATCCAGATTCGCTGGTTATCG